ACTACCATCAATTTGAGTATTCTTTCATCGATATTATCAATAGAGAAACAGTAGAGATCCCATTATGTCCATCTTCAGCCACAATGCGAGGTGACTGGCGTATATTTAAAAAGACCACCGTATAGAAAGGTCAGGGTATTGAAAAAACGGTTATGGGAGCCGTTTGAAACGTCTTGGGAGTAACGCCGCGTATGTGGTATCAAAGACTCATTTCAGATAGTACCATTTTCCTTTATTTGCGATTTGATAACTTTTGGTTTTGGTAAAATTTAGATGAGAAAGAGCAAGAAATCTCAAAACCAATTGTTAAACAGGGTAATTCGTAATAGAATTTGTACAACTAGTTTTGAAAGTGATACTTTTTTTCATGAATTTGCAGTTTGATTAACGAGGGCGCTTAACTGAAACGCGAAAGATCAGCCCCAAATGTAGAGCCATTTTCTGCATTTTCGTTGGAAGATATGCTAATAATGAAAACCTCAGAAATAGTTGCTTAATACAAAACAAATAGAGAAGTGAGCGATTTCTATATTTACTTGGAATCCAGAATTGTGCGCACTGAAGATATCACCACGCACGATTATGGGAATTTATGGTTTCTGGAGAGAACCAAAACAAGCTTCGTTTTTTTACGATAAAACAAAAGGCTCCAGAGGTTTCCTTGGTAAGGTATCCCAAGAATCCTACAATTTACCTTTCTTTAATTTTTCCTCAGCAGCAGAAGGGTGGATTTTACAGATTTACCTAGATCCGAGGTCTATGGGAATCAGGAATGCCCTCTCCGCCCTCTACCCCAATATGACGTATCTCTATACGGGACGACGCAAATCTAAGAGGTGTTTAAACATGGCAACAGCAAATGCACATAGTTATGGTTGTTTCTGAGATACAGGGTGAAAACGAAAAGTTTTACTTTTTGAGATGTCGACATATTATCTTACTAGCCATGTAAGAGAGAAAAAAAGGTAAAAACTGCCTATTTTGAATATTTGTAACTTTGTAAGTAGAATCCAGTTTGGTAGTCAAAGTGAATTTTTTGACCACCGTTTCTGAGATTTGACCCTATACTGGTATTTTTTCCCTGATTACATTGACGTATCAAATCCTATTCTTTTTTGTATCATATTTTTTCAAAATTTTGAAATGACATGTTTCTACTGTCAAGTCATTTTTATTAATTGGTATCAGATACCTTAATTACCATGGATACAATAAACAAAACAAAATCTCCACGCCTACTATTTAAACAGTTTTGCATGGGTAAAATAAAAAAATATAGGTGGTTATACATCAATGTAATCAGGAAAAAATGCAAAAATTGACGTTAAAATATACAGGGTGTTACATTTAAAAAATACCAACATAAAGTCCAATCTCAGAAACTGTGGCCCAAAAATGTTTCTGGTTTCTATGTAAAATATCTAAAATAGTAATTTTTACCTTCATTCTATCTTACATGGTCAAACTGTTTGTTTTCATCCTGGATCTGAGAAACAAACGTAGATAGATTGATGCTGTTTGTGGTAATTAAGTCTCACAAAAAAGTGGCACAGGGTCGCGATAACCCCAAGTCTCCGTCTTTAAAAACAATCGAGATACACTGCAGTCGCAACCAAAAATAGGGCACACTGTACAATTACAATACAAAAATAGCTTCTATTATTTGTGATTTTTCTATATTTTTAAAAATAAATGCGATGAAAAATTATTTAGAGCATTTTTTTAAATTGCGCTGTTGTCACGTTGTGTAGTGGCAGCAAAGTGCGAATTGAAAATCTTATTTAGTGTCAAACGTACCAGCTTACAGCATTGACTGAAATTACAAAACGGTTATACCAGGGTGTAAGAAAGTCGGCACCTCGCAACGACAAATGTGTTAATCGAAACGGCAACCATGTAGGAAAAAGTGGTTTCAAAAAATGTTTCATTTTTTTGTGGTCATGGTATTTTTCCTTGTGAAATAGGGAATTTCAAAGTTATATGTATATTATAGAGAATGTGCCATAAATCCCGATAGACACGGGGGCTCCATGCAAAATTAGTCATCGGCGATATAGAAGAAAGCAAATGTGAAGCAATCTTTTCGGGAAATATGATATCGTTGTTCTAGAATGTTCGAGAACACTCGGGAGCACTCGAGAATATTCAAGTTTGCTATATACACAAATCGAATTGCGATTCAGAACAGTTCCAATTTCAACGCCGAAGTAATAAATAGTTCGCGCTGTTATAAAGAGTAATAAATAATCTTTTAACTGTTACAAATCAATTCATTTCAAGACTGTCATAAATTTATTGTGAATTAATTGTATATAAACCAAACACGTAATTAAATTTTCGTTACAATATGTTTTTACTTCGGAGCGGTGTCAATATGATACCCAACTTGGGCTAGTAGTGTAACTGATGATAAAGTTGGGAACCACCCTTCGAGGGGGAAACAAGTGATTTTTGGTATACACCAAAAATTCAAATTCAAATTAATTCACGTTAATTCAAATTACTTCAAGTTAATTCAAATTAATTCACGTTAATTAAAATTAATTCCAAGGGGTGTACACCAAAAATTCAAATTTGTTTCCCCCTAGCCATCCTCCCACTCAAAACTTTGCATAAAAAATCTTGGTGGCTCCACTTCTTAAATCCATCCCGGAGTCCTAAGGACCTATCCTGCCAAAAGAAATCTTTGGTTCACGGATCGCCGTACTGGTACAACGGCCACTATTCAGTTGGTCTGGCATCGATCGATACTTCTCGTTCACACCTCCCGAGTTTCCCTTTGTGGGTAGCTCTTCAGACGCCTCGTTTTCGATATATTCGTGGCCCATCGGAATATTCAGCTTGTCCAGACCTTCCATCTTCCTGTTTAGTGTATCTCTTCTAACCATGGGTGCAATTATTGACCATGAGCGCTATTAGGCGCTATTGCAGGTAGAATAGTTGACACACGGTATTACCAACCCTAACTCCCACTCTTTCCCAAAATGTGACAGCTGCAGATACAAATTTCTTTATTTTTACATCTTGATGCACATTATGTTAACCCCAAATGTTGAGTTCAGATTCGTCTAGTCCATAGGTCTCATTTTCTTTTTGCGAGTACATTCTTCCGTGTTCCGACAACTCTCTTTCGAGAATTTTGCATTTGAAGTTTTAACCCAACCGGACGGACACTCGGCGGATCTAGTCCCCTGTGATTTCTTCTTGTTTCTCATTTTGCCACTGTGAAGGAAGGTAAAACAAGAATCGCTAGGAGGTCTAAGAACATCCAAGTAAGCGAATTTAAAAA